GCACTCTTACTCTGGGACTTACCGCCCAGCAGATCCTCTATTCAGCTGACTACAGGAAAGGTCCTCACCGGCCTTTTCGCACAATTGGGACACAGCGCGTTGGCACATTCACCTTGAGGCAAGGCTGTGGATGGAAATCTCCATTGGAGATCTGCTCGACGTGCATCCCGATGACCACGCCAAGATCCTCCAACCAACCAAGCTGCAGCTGTATTCGCAGTGAGATGCGCATGCAAGCGGCACAAGATGGCGAGGGCCACGGCCGTCGGCTTCACTGACGTGGCTTCACGTCACTGACATGCAGCACACATGGTTGACGAACGGAACGCTGCAGGGCAACCACAGTCAGTCAGTAAGTGAGTCGGTTAGTCAGCCAACCAGACATCGATGAACAACACACACTCACACGCGCATCCGCATGCACACAGCCGTCCACATATCTACACATCCACCCGCCCCCCTCCCTCCCTCCCTCAATCACGCAGATGCCTGCACGCATCTGGCTGCTATCTACCTTGACCTATCGAGGGGAGGGAGAGGCACCGTGTGTGGTCGCGGGGTCTCATCGATCGTACAAACCACACATTGATGATGAATCGAAGTCGCCACGTGTGTCTGCCGCTGACCCGCTGACTGCACAAAGCCCCCAATACTAAGGGCTGCTGGCGGGGTTGCGACTCTTGGCCTCGGCGATCTTTTTGGCAATCAGCTCGGCAAACTCCTGATCGACCTTCTGGGATTTCTTCAAGTTCTCTCTCTTCTCCTCCTTCTGTGTCACACGCACACACACACACACACACGAGGGAGGGAGGGAGAGAGAAGGTGTGCATACGGCAAAGCTCAGTGAGACCGTACGACTGCTCACCGCTGCACAGAACCTCTCCCACTGCTCGTCCGTGAAGGACTGGCGCCACCGGCGGTCGTCCATGAACTCCTCCTTCGACATCTGAGCCAGGGAAATGAGACCCGTCCGAGTGCAGGGCATGTCAGTCAGTCATGTCGGCTGTCATCCTGCTGCGTACCTGGACGATGGTGCACCCGCCCTCCTTGGTGTAGAACTGACCCGCCAGGCGCGTCTTGCCGACGACCAGCTCATTGCCGACCCTGACAAACACACACACAGGCCATCCACAGCGAAGGTGTGAGTTGACAGAGTTTGCTTCTCACCGGTCTCGTGGCCTCTCTCCGATGGGCAGAAGCTTAGGAGGGTCGGTGCTCAGGTCGAAGAAGCGGACCCCTTTGTCATCGTCGCCCAGCAGCACCTCCATCGGCCGGCCGTCGGGGCCCCCGCCGATGACGTCGAAGGACAGCTCCCCCGGCCTGTCAAGGGACTCGTAGACCTTCCCGTCGCCCCACACAGTGAGGCCGACCAGCCTGCGGCCACCTGACGCCATCCTCTGCAGACAACAAACAGCACACACAACTCACACACAGGGAAGTCAGGTTCATCATCATCATCATCATCTTTTGCAATCGTTTTTTCGGAAGATCTGTGATTGTGTGCTCACCAGTGGTCCCCTACTGATGCTTGCCTCTCCGCTGTGCTCCGGCAGAGCTCGCACTACAAATTTGGCCGCTAGGGTGCTCCGTGAAACCGCTGCTGAGGAGAAACGAAGGTGTGCCAAAGTTTTGTAGGTCTCTGCGAGGTGGCTCAGACCTGGTCCTCCCCTGAGCGTTGATCTACACGGTCAACAAGGATGTTTGGTGCAGTGTTCAAGCAGCTCGCCACCGAAATCGCGGGGCCTGAAGCAGGTAGATGCACCAGCTGATAGATGCACGTGGCGAGAGCGAGAAGAAGAGCAGAAGAAACACGACAGGAGCGAGTGTGCGTGTGTGTGTGTGCAGGTCAGCTGGCAGGGCGCGTGGCGGGTTCCATCTTCAATGAGATGGCGGAGCGCGACGAGCCGCCGCCCAAGCGCACCTACCAGCCCAAGCCCCTCAACGGCAAGAAGAAGTCCCTTCTCATCGGCATCAACTACTTCGGACAGGCAGGGGAGCCACATACTCCTCTGTGAAATGCAGTGCAGTTGATGTGTCTGCTGGCGTTGTGGTGCAGAAAGGCGAGCTGAATGGCTGCATCAATGACGTGCACACCGTCAAGAACTGGCTGGACGAGTATGGCTTCCCCCAAGATGATGACCATCAGCTGGTGCTGACGGACGACCAGGAGGGCGCCAACAAACCCACACACCACAACATACTCAAAGGTCGGTTCTGACACACATAAGCAGACAGACAGACAGACAGACAACAGTGTGTGGTGTTTTTCCTTCGTGCAGCTTTCCAGTGGCTTGTGGCTGGCGCTGCGGACGGTGAGAGCACATGCAGACACACAGATATGTCACTGATGGTCGTGTGTGTGCGTGCAGGCGACTGTTTGTTCTTCAGCTACTCGGGCCACGGAGGCCAGCAGAGGGACACCGTAACCACACCACACACATGCACGGCCTCTGGGCATCCGCGTGTGTCGTTCGTATCAGGATGGCGACGAGAAGGATGGCTACGACGAGACCCTCATTCCTGTGGACTTCAAAGAGGTACAGTGGGCGCGCGAGACCACACTCACAGCCACACAGATAGTGTGCACATGAATTCGTCTGTCTCTCTTTTGCTGCCTGGCGCTTGGCAGCATGGCATGATAGTTGACGACAAGGTGTACGAGTACCTGGTGAAGCCCTTGCCCAAGGGCTGCCGCCTCACCATCATCCTAGACTGCTGCCACAGCGGGACCGCATGCGACCTCCCATACCTCTTCAAGGCAAGAAGACGCACATATCCACGCTTCGTCCGTGCGGTGGGATGGATGGATGGATTGATGGATGGATGGCGTGTTGGCACCCATGCAGGCGACTGAGGAGAACTGCAAGAACTGGTGGGAGGGGATCCCCCAGATGATACTCAACACCAAATGGGACACCAAGAACTTCCAAAGTACACACACACGCACGCACCCATTGCCGACGCTGCTCCTTTGCGTCTGTCAACGTGCCTGTCTGCCTACGTCTGTATGTGTCTTGGTCAGATCTGCTGATGCAGGGTGGAGCGATGGGCCTCCAGATCTACCAGAAATACAGGGTATTTAACACGCAGCAACCTCACGTGCCTCGGATACGTATCTCTGTGTGTGATTTGCAGGACTTCAAGGCTCGAGAGGCGGAGGAAGCTGCCAGCGCTGCCAACGGTGGCGACGACGGCGAACCTGAGGAGGCCAAGTTCTACCGAGAGGGCACCAAGAACTCTCTCGCAGAGGTAGGCCAGTCAGCGCGCGCAGCACAGCACAGGGACACAGGACACAGAAACCACATGCGGGAGTCATGTGTGCGTGTCGCGTGTGTGCAGGTGATCATGTTCAGCGGCTGCAAGGACAAGCAGACCTCGGCCGATGTGGGCGACGTGTCGGGCGTCTTCCAGGTACAGATCCACACAAGCAAAGATGGACACTGACAGATGCGATCCGAGCGCGTGTGTGTTGTATGCAGTTGCCAGCTGAGTGCGGCCCTGGCGGTGCTGGCGGGGCGTGCACCAACGCCATGATTAGCTGCCTCCACGAGAAACCTGAGCAGACCTGGATCGAAGTGCTGGTGCGCTACAGACGAGAAAGCGACCAACAGGATGCGGATGTGATGGTCCTTTGCGTGATTGTGTGTGTGTTCGCAGGACAACATGCGTAAGAAGCTGAATCATCGCGGGTTCTCGCAGGTGCCTGAGCTGTCCAGCACCGTGGAGATCGACCTCGGGCAGCGATTCTCGCTTACCGAGTGAGCCAGTGACCGACCGACCGACACATACGTACCGACATGCATACTGCATACACAACACACGGGGGAGCACGGTGCACGCGTCGAGCACGGGCTGTGGAGGGGGTGCGAATGTGAGGGTGAGAGAGAGTGGTTTTGTGTGGTGTCGTTTCCACTCTTGGTGCTCGGTGCTGGTGGAGGGGTGGAGAAGGAAGTTGGTGTTTTTGGGGCAGAGCAGAACACAGCACGGCACAGCAGGTTCTTCTTCCTTTCTCTTTTCTAGTTACTTTGAGCTAGCCGAGCCGTGTAGCGTGAATCGATTGGTAGGTCGTGGGCAGGACAGGCCAGGCCACAATCGAAGTCTTTTGTAGTCACTTGATGCGTGTATGCGTGTATGGGTGTGCATGACTGTACTCTTCTCCTTTTTTTGGGAACCGAATCGTGTCCACCACGTACCCATCCATCCATCCAGCAATGCGATTTACGTGCCATGATTCCGTGCGTGTCGGTGAATGTGCATGTGTGCATGGCTGGTGCGAGAGAGAGCGAGACAGGAGAGTGCATGAAGGCGCGAAGGCCTTGACAAACCGACAATTGCATGACCTTCAGAGTGAGCTCGTTACCAATATCAACAGATGAGGTCTCTCTCCCCCACAAGACCAAAAAACGTTTGAACACCCACCCACAGACCTACAGACAGACAGGGATGCACATTTGTACAAATCCACCTACATAGCACAGCATATCAACACAACGCCACAGCGGCACGTCAAGCTGGCTGTGCTATATACGCCCTGTCCCCCCCTCCCTCCCTCCCTGTCTCCCTCCCTGTCTCCCTGCATGTCTGTCAATCGACTGACCACGGGTAGACTCATACAGACACAGCGCCATGCGGCTATCCAGAAGGACGACGCCAAAAACGTGAAGACACATGGGTACATGCATGCAGCCATCCTTCTTCCACCGAAAAACGGGGATGGATGGACACCAACCGCTCACACACGCATGGATAGCTCAGGAAAAGTATGACTGATCAGGGTCTGCCACGAGCGGGGCGTTGAGGGAGCCGCCGGCCGTCTGCGGTCCGTCGGTGTCGAGCAGGACCACCTCGTTGGGCTCGCCTGCACGCAACACACTCCCCGGCACGAACAGACGCTCCTGGGGACCCACCTGCACACACGACAAACACACATACGGCAATGGGTGAAGGCTCCACGCTCGAACGAGGCTTTGGGTGGCTCTCACCTGAGGCCAGTATCTGCCGACGTTGAAGCCGTTGACGAATGCCATGCCCTTGCGCCAGCCATTGCGCTCGCCCACATCAAGGAAGGTGTCGGGCAGCTCCTCCTGACCCGCATACTGTGCCGGCATGTCGATCGTGCCCCGGAAAAGCGCGAAATGGCGGCCTTCCTTCTGCTGCTGCTGCTGCTGCTGCTGCTTGTGTGCGATAGGTGTGAAGGGGAGCGAGGAGATGAAGTCAGCTGAAAGGGGGATGGGTTGTGTGGTCCAGCCAGTGAGAAGATGTCCGTCGAGCAGCACCGACGATGTCAGGCCTGCATGGGAGGGGGAGAAAGAGAGAGAAACAGCAACAAACAAGTGGGCGTGTGACATGGCGAGTGCGGTGTGTTGTATGTGTCTTACCTTTCTTGTCCAGTGTCATGGGGTTTGGCCCATGTCGCGGTAGGTTCTTCCACCCGACGTAGTTGATGTGGCCCAGGCTCTCGACGATGATCAGCAGCTCGTGATGCGAGGCGGCCTGGCCGTGCACATGGGAATGTCGCCATTCGGTTGTGGGCTGCCTGCGTTGTGTACCTGGTCTGGTGGGAAGGTGATGCTGATGGATGCGCTGTCTGTCCCTGCATCAACATCATCACATCCAGCAGCTGCAGCGCCTTCCGCCGCTGCAGAAGAGTTGCCCATGCTCATCTCCATCACACGACTCACAGTGCCCTGCACACACAGCCCACAACGCGCCACACTCACCTACAGACACAGTACTGCACGCCGTCACACGTACCTGCAGCTGCCAATCCAGGTAGATGACAGCCAGATCATGCACGCCACACAGGCTCAGCACACCAACGCCTCCCTCTGTGCCGTTGCCCCTGTTGAGAGTGCTGGTGGCCAGAGTGTGTGTGTATGCGACGAGGGTGATGGGGTGGCCGGGTGAGGGGATGCCCAGGTCGCTGACGGCCGACTCCAGGGACAGGGGCTCCGCCATCTTGATCGACGAAATGCCAGTGGAGTTCGCTCTGAAGGGGGAGAAAGGATACATGGATGGATGGACACTTCAGGTAGCTCGTGTCGGTCACTCACATTGCGTCAGTGAGGTAAGCCACTTGATCGAACTCCACATTGCCGTACTCGGCAGTCTTGGGCCAGGTCGGGGTCACCCGCTGATCCTCAGGCACCAGCACCTCCTGCAGCAAGAACCACTTATCGGTGGGTCGACCTGCAGACACATACAGATATTCGCGCAATACCGAATGGCGATTGTCAGCGAGTGCCCACCAGCTTGGTCGATGGGTGCGTTATAGTCGTAGGAAGTGGTGGTGGGCTTGTACGTGCCGTTGTCGATGTTGGCGCCGTTCCAGAGGTAGTTGCTGCCGCCGTGATACATGTAAAAGCTCACTGACGCATCGTAGTCGTCACCCCATATGGTCTTGAAGATGGACAGCAGGTCCTGTGAGTCGACAAAGAAAGAAAGAGCGAGCAATAAATGCTTTGTTCGATGTGTGCATGGGTTCGCTGACTCACTTCCGATTTGACAGTGTGATGCTCTTCACCCCAGTGGTCGAACCAGCCTGTCGTACACACAGACAGCCACACACAGACATCCAGACAGAGTGCGCTGTTGTATCACGGCTCCTCCTATCAGCACACACGCACCTGAGTACAACTCTGAGTTGACAAAAGGCCCAGTGGGCTGAAACTCCCGCCACAGCCGATGCATCTCATCAAGATCTTCCATCCTGGACGGACCAAAGTCAACTGAACAACAAACGGGGAGGGAGAGGTTGGAACGAAGTCATGTCTGCTGTGAGGTCGCTAACTTGTGGTGAATGAGGTGTTGGTCGATCCACACTCCAGGTTCCGCTCGTCAGGGACGTCTGTCGTGTAATACACCACATCGTCACCAAGGTACCCCCTGGACACGGACCCAGAGCACACAGATGCATTGTCTCTCTCCCTCTTCCTTACGTGTGTCACATGTTTCATCCTCACCTGAGCATCTGTTCCATGGCGCTCATGTACCCCTTGTCACACGCAGGGTAGCTCCCGTACTCGTTCTCCACCTGCACCATGATGATCGGCCCGCCGTTGGCGTACAGCAGGGGCTTCATCAGGGGCATCAGGGCGCCAAACCACCTGCGCACCTCGGCCATGTACCGCTCATCCGATGTGCGGATCTCCATGTCCGTTGCCAGCAGCCGCGTGGGCAGCCCGCCCAGGTCCCTGCACACGTGTAAGTATGACACACATGGATGGACACATGCAAGCACGCGCATGTGGACGTGTGTGTGCACACCGCACCATTCAGCACAGATATAAGGGCCAGGGCGCAGCAGCACGAACAGCCCCTCATCGGCAGCAGTCTCGATGAACCGCACTATGTCACGGTCACCAGTGGCGAAGTCGTACTCGCCCGGCCGTATCTCGTGGAAGCTCCAGGGAACGTACATCGATACGGCGTTCAGCCCCCCGTCGTGCATGAGCTTCAGCAGAGGCCGCCAGTGGGTGTGCGGTATGCGGCTGTACAGCACCTCTCCCGCAGCATATCTGAACGGCTCCCCGTCGAGCAGGAAGACGTTGTTGTCGTGGTCAATCGTGAAGGAGCGAGGGTCTTCTTGCCAGCCAAGGAGGGACAGCAGCGCCAGGCAGATGAGGATCCCGGGGAAGATGAACACGGAAGCGGTCATCATCTTGGAGCCCATCGTGATCTGATCTGACTGCCCTCGAGAGCCTCTCGGAGAAATCAGGGGCTGTCAAGATGGGCTCTCGGGCATCAGCGCCAGATCGGTCCGCCGCTGGGGCTGCTGCGTGAGCACGTTGTGTGCCTCAATGAGACAGATGCCGTCGTCAAGGGCCTGCTGTAAGGAACAGAGAGAAGATGCCAGAATCTGTCGAGTCTTGCAGGCGCCCGTTTTCTGTCTTGTGTGCTGCTCACCTCAGCACTCTCATCTTCCTGTTTGCCTTCGGAAGGGTAAGAAATCGCTTGACGTTGAGAACCACTTCGGGCAAGCTGCCCGTGTAACTATCATAGTACGTCAACCGCGTCCGCAAAAAAAGCAAACAAAAAAAACACACACACAGAAAGACAGTCTTAGTCAATCAGCTCCATGTCTCCGTGCATGTATGGCCATGCATCGCACTTTGATGTCTTTCATCCAATCGAGAGCTATACAACTGTTGTCTCACTTCTACTTGATCTTTGCTTCCATCTTCGTCAACCGCTCGTTGACTTCTTTCTGCATTTCGGTTTGTCGCTCGTCAACCCTCTTCAAGACTGAAATGCAAAACAAAACGAAGGCACTTCAGATTGGTTGTTTATTACCTGACAGCACTTCGGATTGGTTGAGCTTGAGGGCTGCAGAACATTCAGTAAACAGTGCTCACATCTGCCGTGATGAGCCTGTGACAGCTCCACGTGTGTGGTGGGGCTGTGTCTCACCTGTCATGATGTCCGGAGATGTCGTGTCGTGATAATCCGCGGCCTCCATCCACTTGTCGATGCTGTCTTTGTATCTGTTCCGTGCGGAACGCCTCTTATCGGCTTTCTTCTCCTCAGTGTCCTCGGACAATTCCTTTGGCACCACATACAGATTCCATTGCTGGATGGGATAGGCCATTTGGAACTCTCGGTGAGTCTGTCACCTTTGCTGTGACGTAATGGTAGAGGAGATATAGGGGCATCACGAGGATGACACCGAGTATTTTGAATGCGTCCCAGATCTGGACTGTCTTCCACCCATCCTGCGTCCAGTACTGTCGCCGCTGTATCGCGTTCCGTATCAGTTGTTGAAGCTTCTCCAGCTTTCGGTAGATGGCAATTGGAGTGAAGGCGACGGCAAACGGGAGGGCATCGATGGTGGAGTACAGGGCCTTCATCGACCAGAAGGCAATGCGGCAGAGTGCCGACTGCCGTCCGCTGATGAGGGAGGCGACATAGCGCAGGGGCACCGACACGACCACAGCTGCACACACACAGATGCTCACATGTGATGGATGCAGTTGATGTCTCTTGTCGGTCGCACCGACCGATGAGGTTGAATGGCGGCGGGAGGCGCTCGTGGTGCGGCATTGTGAGGTACTCATTCAATACGCGAACGCGCAGCAGCCTGCACTCAGAGGCGAGAGAAACCTTATATTATGTGCCGCTGTCCCTTGTCAGTCGTCTGCTGACTGATATTGAGCTGTTTGTGTCTGCTCGATGGCCGCATATGTGGACGCCTGACATAGAGAGAGACACACACACAGGAGCATTGATCAGTCATATGGCACGGTCGCTGTCCCTCGTGTCTGTCTCACCATGATAGCGATGAGCAGGTTGAGCTATCGACGCGGGCAGAGAGAGAGACAACAAAGGGAATCCTTGTGTGTGTGTGGCTCGTCCCAGGTGCTGAGTGCATGATATGTGTTGCTGAGCCTCGCGTACGAGTATGATGGACGAGAGGATGACATATGTGAACAGCAGGACGGTCCCCAGCGTGTCGTGGCTCTCGATGGCGTTGTTCAGCGCCTCGTTGAACTTGCCAAGACCCCCGTAGAAACTAATGCAATGCAGCCAGCCAACAGCATGCTTATCGACTGGCGCTCTCTGTCTGTGTGTCGGTGTCATCGAGTGCAGTGTGAGCATGGCTTTGGCGAAGGAGCCGAAGTACTGGGGGTCTTCGTCGGACGAGAGGAGGGTGAAGACGACCGCGAAGACCAGCAGGATGTAGACGTACAGACACAGAAACATGCTGATGTCCGAAAACATCCTCACAACCGCACTGACACACACACCCATCACAAACAGCATGAGACACCTCTCTCTCTGTGTGTCTTTGTCTCTCTCACTGACAGTATGAGTGGTCCCACGGCTGGGTGAAGGCTGGCCGTTTGCAGGAGCCGCAGCGCAAAGAGCAGCGCTATGACGATCCCTGAGCTAACCTCCGCCTCCTCCGACCACTCAGTGAAGTGTATGGCAATGAAGGCGATGATGGCCAGCGAACTTCCAGCATCCACCCAGCTCCTTCATCGACACACCGACAGCACACAAATGGAGCCGCCAACACGAAGCCTGACGCGCACCATGAGTCGGCCCAGTAGGCCGCCTTGAGGCGAATGCCCTGCACACTCAGAGAGGATGATGCATGTTGTTGTTGATCAGTCAGGCGTGTCTCCTCTGATCTGTCTTACTTGGAAGGCCTCCACGACGATGAATCCAATGCCCGTCAGCACTGCCCCCCACAGCCACACCGACGGCCACACCCCCGCCATCATCACATCGCTGTCTCCCTTGATCGACTCGATGCGCAGCAGCACAAAGGCCACCCTGCAAGACACACAGACAGATAGAGATGCTTCTCTCTGCCTCCATCTTGGTGCGTGTCTGCAGCTCTACATGAGCAGCATTGACAGCACGCGGCTGATGAAGACATCTCGGGGTGCAAGCTGAAGCCTCCAGTCTTTGTATTCCTGCTTCCAATGCTGTGTGACGAGAGATGTGCATTTGGCTATCGCAATCATTCGAAGCAGAAGGGGGAAGGAGACATCAGCGGACCGACAGAGAAACGAGGAGATCGCTTGTGCGGCTTACCTTGGGTGACGACAGAGAGGGGCTCTGCGGACTCCAGCGCCGCAAAGCATTCTCTCTCCTTGCCTGCAAGTGACCCTTCAAAGACCCAATTTGGTGTATCGCTGCAGAAATTGGCTGTGAGGGCCTGAACCGATTGGCCAATAATGCAGAAGTGAGAACTGCTGTGCTCTGTGTGTCCGTTGTTCTTTACCTCGTGCCAGTTGGAAATATTCTCAAGGTCATCTGTGAGGGAGTCCTTCGGGCGCAATTTCGTCAGTTTGCGGAAGACGGCACAGCAGCGAAGGCCGTCGAGGCCCAGCGACTCAGAGCGGTCTTTCAGGAACCCTTTCGCGAAGGGCATCACCTCTTTGAGGTTCTCCGCCGCCGCATCTGCTACTTTCACGCCTCGCTTGAGCACCTCCATGACGTCTTCACCAAGAACAACAATCGCTATGACGACTGACGAAGGTTTGGCAAGGGCAATATCGATGAGCGTCCGTCCGATCTTGCGGAGTAATGACCACAGACAATATCGATACGCAAGTCGATAGGTGCAGTGCAGCCTACATCGTCTTTGATCTTCAGGAGCTCTTGATTCACCGTCAACACCCAACACAACACATCGGCCTTGCCGTTCCCTGCAGGAGAGCGCAAAGAGACACATTGAAGACTCATGCACTTGTGTGGTTGTCGTTGGCAGGAGTGACTGACATGCTGCCCAATGAAGAGGTGTCCAGCCATTCTGAATCACAGCATGAACGAGAAGACTCTTGCTGTCCAATTCACCAGTCGAGATTCCATCGTCCTTACCAAGCTCCGAGCTTCCAGCAGTTCCTTTCCGCCCCACTCGACAAACTTCACAACAGCAACTGATCCGCTCCCTGCTGCCAGATGAAGAGGCGTGCGGCCATGCTACAGACACACCATGAAGATTTGAGTGGACACATCGGCCGGTAAATGGGCATAATGACTGTTATCAGCAAGCACGATACCTTATCTTTCAGGTCGAGCAGGTGGCGTCGGTTGTCCAGCAAGACCTCAAGCACAGCCACGTCCTTACACCTTTCTGAGAAGCACACACAGGGGCCGCATAGCTGCATCATGTGTGTGTAGTGATGCGACGATGCATACCTGCGGCATAGTGGATGGCAGATTCATAGTCCCACTTATCAGTCGTCAGCACTTTCTCGGCTTGCTCAGGCGACAGATGAAAGAGGGCGCTCCGCAGGCCCTCCGCATCTGATGCATAGATGGCACTCCTGATGGTGTCTCTGAGGGTTTTCGTCGGCTCCCAATCGTCGGCGGCCGGGGCACCCACCAAGGGAACCTGCAGATGACACACAGACGCCCAAGAGACCTCTCAGAGTGCGTGCTCGTGCCGCTGACAGTGTCCGCATCACCAACAGACCTGCTCGAGGCGTTTCGGTGCCTTGGTGATGCCATCAGTGACGTCCGGCAGCTGGGGCTCAATCAGCCCCTGTTCATCGCCCTGCAGCAGAGGGACCTGGTCACTCGAGGCCGACGCTGACATCTGCAATGCGTTGAGGGAGGGAGGGACACAGACATCAGAGGCCGATGGCCACACACGCAGAGATGCACTAAGAGCATTGCAAGGTGACCTTGGGATGGCCCGTCTGTGTGTGGTGGATGGCCTGCTGTGCGGCAGCGTCGCCCTCGTCGACTCGCGGCAGCTGGATGTAGCACACCTCCTCAACACCACTGGGGCGGCTGTGGCCGTCTCTCCCTCTGCCGCCCTCCTGGCCCTGCAGATGGGGTGTCCGCCGGCCGTGGAGGAACCCCAACATCTCTCCTCTCGTCTCAGGGTACAGGCCGCCCCCAGTCTCAGGGTGACAAGACCCCCCGTCTCAGCGGCTCAGCCCGCAGTGTGTGCCGTGATGGAGGCCAAAAATGATCAAGAGGATGTCGAAAAGGTGATGACTCACACACGTGAGCCTTGTCCGTGTAAGATCCTGTGATGGTTCTTGCAGATCTGCCACGATACAACAGCCATCCGAGAGGAACTCCATCGCCTGAAGTCGAGAATCAAGGTAAGATGATGAGACCACCTTGAGTCCCTCGGCAGATGTCATATCTCTGCCTGTCATGTCGTATTGTGCTCATCGCAGGCGCGCGCCTGTCAATCTGAGGGTAGTGCGGCACAGTGGCTGGACTCGACAGCGACCCAGATCTTCGCTGCTGCCTTGGTTGTCGGTGGGGCCATCGATGCACTCGGCAATGTGGCAGCGGCCTTGCCTGCCTCAGTGCCCCTTGATGCCGCCATCGAGGCATTACCAGGTCAATCCAGTGCTAAGGTGAGGAGCAGCACAGACGACACGCCGCACAGGCAGCTATATGCAAGATTCGATGATGATGTCAGGGCACTGTGGCTGAGGCAGCTGCTGCCATATCACAACCGCCTGCGTTCCGACTGATCTATGTGTCGGGCAAGCAGCCAACCGACGAGGGAGAGGTACAAACAGACAGACAGACACTCTATTCTCTGTTGCCTCCTTTGGTCTCTTCTCTGCTTTTGCACCAGGCCTCCCTTCGTCTCTCCTCCGATGAGCTGGCGGCCCTCTTCGGCTATCATCAGCCATGGCACCTGACGCATGCAGCACCAGCACTCGGCCACACCATCTTCAGCTGGGTGGCGGCCAACTGCACCCACCTCATCATCGACGGATCAAACAAGGGCGGCGTGCGGCACATCTGGGAGGAGATGCCACTTCCTGTGGCATGCAAGTGGGGACAGCGCATGATCAACCTCACCCACACCCACATCCACGTCATCTTGCCCAAGAGCAACACCAGTTTCCACGGCCACTGGTGTTGCGGCATTTGGGTCGCCGTCATTGAGGGGAACGCACAGGGCAGGAGGGCACGGAGCGAGCAGCAGGAGGGGTCGTCTTCCGCTTCGTCCATCAAGGTCCTCAGCTTTGAGCAAGACACCCATGGGCAGTGTGGCAGCCTGTTTCTATACGGGGCGGCCCATACGCACCCCCCACCCCCCACCCCCCCAGTCGACCTGTCCAAGCTGACGGAGGTGCGGCGCCTGCCCTGCTCGATGGTGAGGCTGCCCAGCCTCCGACAGTGGCGCACGCCATCGCTTCGCGTGATGACCTTCACGGACGACGGCTGTGAAGTCCAGGAGGCCATCGCCCAGTGGGTGAGCGGATGTGAGCACCTGGAGGTCCTCGACGATGACGGCTGCATCCACGAGAAGACGGAGGTCCTCCGCATGCTTCCGGCCGGCCACTCCCTCGCCCGGTTGAGGTCGATCGGCCCCCTCAAGCTGCAGTCACGTATCGGGAGCAGTGTCCCTGGCTTAGAGAACCACCTGGCCAGCTTGCGCCAAGCTCTGCTCGACCGTGGGTGCCGTAGGACCCTTCGTGAGCTGCCCATCGCGTGGAACATCGGTGGTGCGACGCAGAAGGGGGCGCTGCGGGAGGTGGCACTGCTGTCGGAGCAGGTCATGCACCCGGATGCCCTCCAGAAGCCGCAGCTGGTCGACTCGGCAGCCGGCGGGAGGGGTCGCCGCGAGATGGACCTCGAGCTCATCGGGTGGATGAAGAACGAGTCACCTCAGGTGGGTTGGTTGGCGCACAATGGACGCAGACCAACAATCTGGCAAATTCTTCCCTTGGCTGTTTGTCTGACTGTCGGCGTCTATGCAATCAGGTGCAGAAGATCGTTTGCGAGACCGCTTCGCTCGCTGACGTCGTGTGCTTCGACCGCACAGAGCATGGCACCCTCACGGACCCCAACGCTGCCGCAGACACGGTCTTCTTCCCGCGCGCCGACACATTCCGCTGCAAGAGCTACGACCGGGAGACGCAGCTGGACGGCCTTGTCAGGACGGTCGCCCACTCGATGCCCACATGCGGCCACCTGCACTTCCTCAAGTACAGAGATAGCCCAGAGAACGCTGTCGCGTTTCTCGAGGCGCTCAAGGGCCAGATGGTGTGCGGCGGCGAGGGAGAAGCGGCGGCCACGGCGGGAAGGCGATTCTCTGTGGAGATCGACATACCGCTGTTCACCATTCTGCACTCGGATGGTCGGAGAAGTCATGGATTCCAGGGCACGGACCCCCTGGTCAAGTGGGCGAGCCATCAGCTGCCGCCTGTCGATGAGGTGGACATCACTCTATGTGGTAAGCAGCAAGAGGGAGAGGGAGAGGGAGAGGGAGAGGGAGAGAGAACGTCCATCGCATTTGGTATTGCTGTCTGTCAGATCACCTCTCCCAGGGCGACACTGTCGAGGCTGTGTATGGCTTGCTCATGGCCTCACTCGTGGGCATCATCAGCAGGCCGGGAGTGCGCAAGGCGTCGGCCTTCCTCCGGAGCAGTTTGCGTGCGGCCGGCGAACGATTCTTTCACTCGCAGCTGGCCGTGTTCAACCTGCTCAGCACACCATACACCATGGGTTTCGAGAACGGCAGCATCACCATTGAGAGACGCCAATAAAATGCCGCACTGGGTAGCCGGCGACAAGAGAGCCAGACGGGACGCCTTTGAGTACACATGTTCTCTGTCGTACGCTTGTGTCTCAGATAGCTGTATTTGCCCCTGCTGCACGTGTGGCAGTGTTTCTGACCGTCGAGTAGACTCGTGCCACTTGCTGTAGGTAGGTAATAGGTATGGGATTAGGGAGCTAGATGGGGCACCTGGCGTCCGAAGTGGGTGACGCACAGCCACCCAGTGACTTCTTATGCATGTGCTGTGAATGTTCTTGACCGGTGAATAGACTCGTGCCATTCGTGGTGGCAATTTGGTGAGCTCATTCGATTCGGCAGGCCATGCTTTGCCAACAAATTCAGCACACGATTTAGCGCCCATCCATGGAACTAGTCGTCAGCACAAATGCAAATACACATCATGGATCCACCCATCCACCGCACATGCACAAGCAGAGAGTCACGCTACCACATCAACGAGCTATACACACACGAACAAATACTCTGATCCATCCCTCCATCCGTCCGTTCCCCTCCCCCCTCCCCCCACCCTCCCCCTCCCCCGCATGTGCATCAGCCGTCCATATCTGGCACAGTGGGTGGGCAAGCAGGGCTGTCACACCCATCCTCCTCGATCGGCGTGGGCGGTGCTCGTGGGGCAGCCGCACCTCTAGGGATCTCCGCCAGCATCCGTGAGTCAATGTCAGCCAAGCCTCCCATATACAGAACATCCACCCATCTCGCCAGAGCGCGGGGACGCAGACACGCCGGCTCTTCCTCTCCCTCTCCCTCTTCCATCGACACATTATCCCCCTCTGAGCCGATCTTCTGTTGCTCTTGGTCAGCACCCATCGGAGCACCACTTGGCTGCGCGTCTTTATGAGCAGAGTCTTGCTCACGGTATGACTCGACTCGTGGTGGCGGGGCGGCCACGTGACAGGAGAAGACCGAGGAGAAGCCCATGCTATCATCGACACTCTCGGCGGCACCACTGGGGGGGCGGGGAGGGGCGGCTGGTTGATGTGCTGGTGCGGACTGCTGCTGCTCGCACGGGGCCTCGTTGTCACCTCCTGCCGCTGCTGTCTGTGGTTGTGGTTGTGGGTTGGTCGCCGGCAGTCTATCAGGCCTTCGCCGCTTGACCTTGTGCAGCAGGTCGAGTAGCTCGAGGGAGTCCAACGTCCTCTGTGACTCGTCCTGGCTTTCGTCCTCTTGCCGCCTCGCATCCGGGCTCTCTGCAGCTGCAGCATGATGGCTCGCTGACATTCCATCCCGGCTCAATGCTGCTGATGCCGCTGCTGGCGCACGCAACTCATGCGCAGCTGCTGGCTGTGCTGCACCGGCAGCAGCAGCGGCGGGCGCAGGCTCGTCATCGTCGTCGGTGGTGAGATCAATGCGGATGGAATTCCGAGGAACGCCGCCATTGCCGCTGCTGCTGGTGCACCTTCGCGGCCGGGTGCGGCTTGTCTGGGAGTCGTCGTCAGGGACCGTCGGAGAGGGGACATCTTCAGCCCGATAGCCGCGCTCGATAAGCGAGGGGATGTCCATAGGATCTAGTGGGTCTGGATGCGCCACGGCGGCCTGCCGATAGCACAGTGTCTGCTGCTGGCTGTCTTCCATCGAAGAAACTGGATGCCGACGTCAGCTCGTTGAGGCCATCGCGCATCTGCAAACCGCACCTGACGTGCATGAACAGACGATGAGGTTCTTCTTTCGATGCCTTCCCATTGTTCGCCCTTCTCACCTTCCTTCCAGCTCATTGTCTGTAGCCATCCCGCGGCAACGCGTTCTGCTTGAGGGCTACTCCCAGCGCTCCCTCCCCGGCCGCGTTTCCAGCGAGCTTATCATACCTCCAAAACTGAGCCGAGCCGAGCCGCGTTCAGACTGAACGGTATGCGCGTTTGAGGGAGATAATTCTCTAAAACTGAGCTGGGCTCGGTCGGAGATAGGATTCTTTCCGTAGTTTTCGTCGTTGAGGACGACTAAGTCAGTCAGTCACACTCTCACACAGCCAAGCAAGCAAGGCGTCTGTGGCACTAGCCATCGGCCCTCATCTCCTCTGAGGGACACAACACAACACACCATGTACGCATCAGTATGTATGCAGAGAGATGTATGGATGTGTGTATCATGTGTGCGTGCACCTAGGCAGGCAGGCAGGCAGGCCGCACACGACACACCAATACAGACAGACAGACAGACAGACAGACAAAGTGGGGTTGGGGAAGAGAACCCGCCGCATACACACCACACACAACATCCACTTGAAAAAGGCCGCCTTCTCGCGACACACAGGTGTGTATGCAGCGCCCACCATCAGGGATGGGCGCATTCCATCTGTGTACGCACACCCACACGGGCAGGCAGGCAGGCAGGCAGGCAGAGAGGGAGGGAGGGAGGGAGAAAGAGGGGAGATCGATGTCGCGCTAGAAAGGCCTAGAACATGGCAGCAGCAGGAGTCAGAAGAGAAACGAGAACCAGCACTGACTGCCCGCAGACAGACAGATAGACAGACAGATCGCGCATACACTCCCACACACTCTCCCCTCCTGCCGGCCATGCAGAGCCTAAAAATAAGAGGCGCTGTAATGTCTGTCTGTGGTACCAGCAACTCCCTGTCACTTCAAAACGCCCCCACATATCATCCATGCTCTCTCTGAATAGCCATCGCCATCCAGCGGCCCGCCCCATCCCCTCTCTCTCTGCATACACATCCATCCACCCAGTTGTCAGCGAAGCACTCTGGCTGACAGACAGACAGACGACGGGCAGGCAGGCAGCCGAGAGCGCCCGAAAAAAGCGAATCGAATGCACGCATATCTGCCCGTATTGCTCATCAGCATGGGGCAGTCAGCGCATGTCATCTCATGTCAAGTCATGCACACAGAGGGGTTTAGATAGATCGATAGGCAGGCACATCCATCCATCACCTATGCGCTCATTCTGGCGGTGCCAGAGCGTCTCAGTGATAGCAGCCACGCACGGACATCTTCTGGACTAGGCAGAGGCACGAGTCACGCCACACAGACAGACACGTAGCATGCAGACTCCCTGTGTGGGTGTATGTGAGTAGATGTGTGTATGTGTATGTATGATACACAGGTGCTGGCAGCCGACATTCACAGGCGTAGCCATAGTATACACGCAGCATACAGCAGGCATTCAGCCAACACATGTGTGTGTATAATAAAGAGCAAAACGTGACGCAGGCAGGCAGGCAGGCACACAGGAAACAGCGCGAGAACGGCAAAAGGAACCCCCTCACGACGACAACAGCCATAAACCGCTCTCTCTCTCTCTCCCCAACACCCTTACGTAAAGCTACCCACCTACCCACCCACCTACCTACATAGATACACACAATGCCCTGCCCTGCCCTGCCTCGCCCTGCAGCGTACATGGTCCATCCATCGATTGATTGATTGCACCAATGTGTGTTGTGTGTGTGTGTTGTGTGTGGGGGATAGGTATACACCCGAGCAACAAACGGGGAGCGTGCATGCTACAGCCATCACGGACACATCTCCATCCGGGATACGCGCTTTATGCAGACATTCAGACATACAGATACTAGCAGGTGGGGAGGGAGGGAGGGATGTAAAACGCCACACCACGCTCAGAGCACTTACACGCCACATACACACACACACACAAACCAGGTAGAGAGTGAGTGAGGGAGTGAGTGGGTCGACAAGTTGTGACACGACAGACGCAAGACGACGGACGGGCGCACACCATCACCGCCGCCACACCACAACACGCAACGCAAGTCATTTTGTGAAGTGCGCTGGGTTGCTGCTGGCTGGGCTGACCTCACTGCTCTGACTGCTCTCACTGCACTCGCCGCACGTATCCACGACCGACCGACCGAGTAAGTAAGTGACAACCTCTGTGTGTCTCTCCCATCCGTCAAGTAATGATGCTGTCAGACCGTCTTACCCATCCACCCATCCGAGTCGAGTCGAGTCGAAGACATCGCAACAACAAACGCATCACAGACACACACATATCACATGAGTGCTGCAAGACATGTACGAACGAGACGAGAGAGAGAATGTCCGTCCGCATAACCAATCCCTCCTCTCTCTCTCCCTCTCTCTCTCTCCCCTCCATCCCTGCCTCCCTCCCTCCCTGTCTGTCTAGAAGGTCGGGTGCATGACGTTGGGCGAGCCGCCCCCCTGCCCGCCATAGCCGTAAGGCATCCCTCCGCCTGAATAAAGCGACGATGACTGCGGGGGCTGTGGGGGGCCGAACGGGTTGGCCCCGCCACCGTGGATGGGAGACGTCGGCTGGTGAGAGAAATACCCTCCGCCAGAACCTCCTCCATACGACTGAAACACAAGAAGGAAAAAATGAGATTGCGTGTGAACACATGGGTCTTTCTCTTCTTCTCGCTCCACTCACCGTGGGCATGCCGATTGGCTGTTGCTGCTGTTGCTGCTGCTGCTGCTGTGTGGCGGTTGGATCGCTGATGAGGCTCTGCAGCAGCTGGAGGTCGGCGGCGCCGACCGACTGGCCCAGCAGGTTGGGCTGGCCCATAATGGCCTGGTCCACCTGGTTCAGCAGCATACCGTTGAGCGCCAGCGGGTCGACAGCCCCGGACGGGTTGCCGTACCCTAACGCGTCCACAAGAGCACCCTGACAAAGACAAGAGCAAAGGCATCAGATTGACCACAATGCCTGCATTGTCTTGTGTGTCGATAGTGCCGCTTACGTCTATTCCCATTCCTCCGCCGCCCGCCGCCGACGGGGTCTGCCCCTGCTGAGCCGCGAGTGTGTTGAGCACCGACTGCAGCGCTTGAAAATCGCCGAACGGATCAATGGGCGGCCCGCCGCCCTTGCCCGGACCCCGCACTGCACACAACAGATAGATGGAAACCACCCGTTGACACACCAGCGCCCCCCTCCATGTCAGTGTGGTCTGGTTGCTGACCTTGCTGGCCTATCCTGTCCCTGCCACCTCGCCCCCTTGCGCCGGGCGGCATGCCGTGTCCACCCCACATGCCCCCACCCATGTGTCCGCCGCCCTTGTACGGACCGCCCTGTGGGTCCTGGGGGTTCATCATGCCACCTCTCCCGGCGGGTCCTGGTGCTCCTGGGGGCGGCCCGCCCATGCCGCCCGGGCCGAGGTAGCCCATGGTCAGCTGGGGGTACTTCTTCATCAGCTTGGCTGCGATGCGCTTGCCTGATGGACAGACGAAGGAGGGAGAGAGGGTGGGTGATGGGTGTCGTGTTGCCCCTTGTTATCTGTACCTCCCGTGTGTGAGTTCCTGAGTGCGTCGAGGTGGGGTCGGATGCCGTCAATAAGTCGGCTGAAGTAGGGCTCCTCAGCCACACTCAACGCGCGCTGGATCACTGGTCATTCGTACGAAGAGAGCCGAGGACAGACGTGTATCGGAGCTGTCATCCATGTTGACAAGATGTCGCTCACCGTAGTTTGCGAATGAGTCGAGCAGCAGGTCCTTGAGGCACTCGTTGCCTGCGCAGAGGAGCTCCTCCACCATCTGGCGCTTGTGCTCGTCAGAACCCAAAATCAGACACTGATAATGCGTTCACACACACATACACACAAATAGGTCCATGGTAGGCAAGTGATGATGGTGTCTCTGTGCTGACCTTTTCTACGACGTTGGATGAGAACTTCTGCTTGGACAGGCGCACCAGGCTGCCGAGCAGCTTGACTATGATGGCGTTGTTCCATGCCTGCACAACACCAAGAGCGACACGTACATTGGCCCACTGCACAGTGATAGGGTCGGTGTATGCCTGTGAGTGCTTGCTGACCGGTTCCCTCTGGTTGAGGACGTATTGAATGACATAGTTGCCGAAGGCGTCCTGCACCAGGTCCACTGCATGCTGAATGATCTCATCCACTATGCGTTGCTGGAAGAATGAACCACCCACACAACACGGAGGGGTCGAGTGTGTGCTCGCTCGGCCGACAGAGCCTCTCCTTCGCACGTCTTACCCTCTGCACGCCCCTGGCTGCGTCAATGCACCGCTGCAACACGCAACAACCTGCGTAGGCAGACAACCAGACAAACAGAACAAATGGGCCCTCGTGTATGCTCGAGGCTCCCTCTCTCACAGACGGACGTCTGTTTCTACCGTGTCTGTGTGTGGCGACGTCGTAGCAGTGTCCGATGATGGCATTGTAGATGTAGTAGTTGTCGCCCGGCCCCAGCGCCTGCAGACTCTTCTGGATGACGTGGTTGCCGTTGAGGTCCTTGACCAGCGTCACCACAGACGACCGAAGCGCCGCTATCACCTTCGATATCTGGTCAGGCGAGTGCAGCTGAACCAAACGTGACACAGCAACACAGCAAGACGGACACAGAAACGGTGAGAAGAATCGTTGTTGTGTTTGTCCTTCCCTTCGTGTCTGACTGACCACTTCGATGAGTTTCTGGACGGCCCGTGTTCCATGCATGTTGAGGGAGATCTTGACCAGGTCGGCCGCCACCGCGTCGATGATCATCGTCAGCTGACTCTGCGAACACACCTGCACACAACACAACACAACACAACACACAACGACAGCAGCAGATCGGCACGTTGCCCCTTATGGACATGTTGTATGGCTTGGTGTGTCGCACCTCCATCAGCTTTTGGCAGAGATAGTTGCCGAATGGGTCTGTCATCAACTCAACTATGTTCTCGAGAATCTGCCAAGAGACAAGGGGGGCAGCAGCACACTCGTGTCTGGTCTGCTGCGTGCATCGCCCCTCTCGTCATTGCATACCTCCTCGAATATGCCGTTGAAGACCGTGGGACTCTCGTCCAGCTTCTTCTGAAGCATCCGACACCCACTCTGGTCCTGAACAACACAGTCACATTCACACAGACACGTGAGCAAAGCAGTCGATGGGCTTGTGTGCTTGTCAGTGGAGAGTGAGGTACCTTGGCTATGAGGTAGACGTGTCCTTTAAGCAGCCCACTCGCAACCAGCTCCTCTATGGTCAGACCTGGAGGCGCACCGGGTATCGGAGCTGCAACAAACACGATGTCAATCACATCAATGGATGGCCCATCAGCAACTTTTTGCTTCTGTCTCGTGCTTACATGGCCCAGTGATCCGCCTCCTCGGCGACCGCTTCCTATTGCCCCCTCCACCCGCCCCGCCCACGCCCCTCTCACCTATCCCATTACTCCTCCCACCCCCCTCATGCAGCCCACCCAGCCCCTGGAACTGCTGCGACAGCGTTATGTGCACATTCTGACCGCCCCCATCGACCACACCGATGCCCGGAACACCCTGCTGGCCGTCCATCTGCTGCTTCTGCGCCGTGATGTGGGCGGCCATGGAAGTGGCCGCGCCGAGAATGGTCGACTCAGACGGCGGGGGCATGGTGAGTGATGAGTCTTGGGTGGCCCCGGTGCTGGGCGGGGGCATGAAGACGTTGGACTGGAAGAGGGACTCGCTCTGGTTGCCCACAGCAGGGGAGGGGGGCTGCAGAGTGGCGGGGGGGATCGGGTAGGGCACAGAGCTCATCAGCGAGAGGGGGCGGGACGAAGACGACGACAGTCCAGCGGACGACGAGGGACCCAGGAACGTGTCGGTCAGGTCGGCGAGAGAGGAGGATGGTCCTGACGGCTGCTCCTGTATCCTCAGGACGAAGTTGCCACCGTCTGAGGGCTCCTCGTATGCCGGTGGGAGGTGGTTCTCTTCCATCGTGCTGTCCTCCGCTGGGTCGAGGGTGGCCTCGAAAGAGGGTGTCTCGAGCTGCTTTAGCACTGACTGGGTCACTGCATTAATGACAGACAGACAGAGACAACGCGCACATGTGCATGTGTGAGGGGCGGATGTGCCCTTGTCTCTGTCTGTGTGGTTGGTTACGTCTTTGCATTTTGGGTGAGAAGAAGTCCATTTGCGATGCCCCCTCTTCGCTGAGCTTCGACAGCTTCCTCTGCGCGAACTCCGCCAACTTTGGCTCGCCCTCGATGGGCGGCGGCAAGTTGGGGTTCTTGGCCGCAAAGTGCCTGACACACGCACAGAGGAACAATACACATACATGCAGACAGATTGTGGCCGGCCGTATGTGCGCATGTGGCTGCATGCCTTACTGGTAGAATTCGTTGTATTGGTCGTCGCATCGTATGTCAGCAAACTCCTGGGGCGGGAAAGCAAAAATGTTTTCGGCCGAGAGGACGTCCTCGTGGTGGTGATTCGGCGGAGGCGCAGAGGCTGGGCGAGGAGGGGACTCTGACACACACACAAAGCACACAGACCAAGCACACAGACAGACAGACATACGCATGTACATACACGAAGTGTGACAAAGTGACACATGTGGATACACACAGGATGAAACAGCCCATCATCGCATGTGACGTGTGCACAACGACAATGTGCAGCCCATCTGCATTCTCTGTCGTGCAACACGTGGCACTCCTCAGTGAGACAAGTACGGCCTGGCTGTGGCCACCCCGCGCTGTTCTGATGCCTCTCTGTCGCCTCACCCATGCCCTGCGGATGCTCCTCCTCGCTCATTTGGGATCGGTCTCAGCCTCGACGCTGGGAGAAGAAGCACGCTGCTGCCTTGCTTCACGGCAAGGCAAAACACGAGGATGGACAGATCGGATGCTCGCCTCGCACGACTTCTTCCCCTTATCTACTTCATCACGAGCTTCATGTCTTGCGTGTATCGCCTCGTGCTTTCGAAAAGCGAAAAGCTCGCACGGGATCGGCGATCCACGAGGTGTTATTCAACTCATCGCTCGTGACGAAGGCAGCGTCGTGTTCTTTTTCTCAGGAGGCTGGTTAGACGGAGTGCGAAAACTGGTCTTCAGCAGGCTGCTTCACTGATGCGTGATGAGACGCCTACGACGGCAGGGGGGAAGGACGCATGATGCCTGTGGGGGGTTCGCCCTTCGGGATCTCTCTTCCTTCGTCGTTTTTACTTCTTGGCATCAGTGTTCTGTGCGTTACTTTGACTTACTTATCCCATGGTAGGCTGGTCACGCTTTACAAAGCGACGACGAACGCAGCCGCTGCTTGCGTGTGAATGTGTTTCCATGCAGATCATCTGCTTGCCGTGGCACCTTCTCTGAGAAGGACTGGGCGAGGACTCCAAGGCCAATGCGACGGTGAAAAGTGCGATGACGAGAGCGTGCTGTTCTCGGTGACCGGCTGCCGCTGCATCGACAAGAGATGCCACAAGGAGCTGCGGAAGCCCGGCTTTGAGAGTGTCTGTCGAGTCACGCGAGAGGCATGTGATGTGGGTCCTGCCGATGTGAGGCGACTGATGGCGAGTATTTCGATGCATGTGTGGAGGGCAAGCAGCAGCAGGTGTTCACAAACAACGGCTGTCGGTGTATGTCGGAATGCCGCAAGCGCCTCTCATACGAGGTGCCTGTGTGCAATATGGACCCAGGGGAGGACTGTCCCGATCAGCAGACGAGGCATGCCTATCCAGTGGAGTGCGGTGACCGCAAGCCAGAGTTCCAGCTGGTGCCGCCGACCTTCTGTGCGGGGGTGATGGACCGCGTCGACCTTACAAAGAAGGCACACTGGACTCATCTGGTCTATATGAATGCGGTGAGAGGGCATTGAGGGACGGAAAAGGCACGCCACTGGATGCATTCTGCGCCTGTGTGTGTGTGTGTGTGTGCGTGTGTGCGTGTGGCATCAGGACAACGATTTGGAAAGCGACGCGATGGATGATTTAGCCGAGATGCTTCAGATGCCGTCGGGCAGCATCAATCTGTTGGTGCTTGTGGACCGCTCTGATCCTCACGCGTACCATGCGTCCCATAAAGCTATCCACCAGCTTGTCATCTGCCCGGAAGCGTACCCAGATATCAACCTGAGGACGGTACAGACAGACGGACACATACGCTCGCACACAGTGACATCTGTATTTGGCTTTGGTCGTGTGTTTATGCAGGTGAGACAGCAGTTTTCCAACACGTACGAGCTGCTGATGATCGGCGATCCATACGATGGTCAGAACGGCACCAGCAGGCGCCGGTGGCTGCTCAGAAAGGACTGGAACGAAGCTGACATGGACAATCAAGAGACTCTGCGGGTGGGGTAAAGACGCGAGGCGATGAAAGGATGGTCTCTCTTCGCTGAGTGAGCTGGATGACTGCGTGTGTGGCGATTGTGAATGCATAGGTATTCATCAGGAAGGCGTTGAAAGACTTCCCTGCTGACCACTTCGCTCTGACCCTGTGGGACCATGGTGTGGGACGAAAAGGGTGAGTATGCACATTGATGCAAAGGTTGCAAGGTGTCATCCTTCGCCGGACTGCATGTGTGTGTATATGCAGGTTTGGCGGCGACTCTCAGAGCGGTCAATCGGGATCCCTGATGACTCTCTTCTCTCTCGAGCAGGCCATCAGGGTAAGCAGAAGGATAGATATCAATCAAACGGCCCTGACCACTCAATTTCTTGTCCCTTTCCTGTAGGGAGGAATCAGTGATGCGGGTATGCCTGATGGCTTTCGCTTTGACTTGCTCTCATTCGATGCGTGCCTCATGAGCTCATACGAGGTGATCTCCGCGCTCTCATCACATGGGCACTACTTCCTCGGTAACAGACGACACGCACACGAACGAAGCCGCTCTGCTTCTTTCCGTATCGTGCGTGGTTCGTTGTGCTGCCGTGTAGGCAGCGAGACCATCGTTAGCGGCGCTGGCTGGGATTGGCGTTTTCTGAGACCAACAACATATGACGGCGAGCCAGCCACGCCTTTGGACTACGCCAAGAGCATCGCTCATGCAACAGTGGACTTCCACATGAGGCAGCAAAGTCTGATGCCCCTTGCTATTGTGGACCTCTACAAACAACGCGAGTTCCGCATGGCGTTTGCCGCCAGCCAAAGGGGCCTCACCGAGCGACTCAACACGTGCGTTGATACATACGAGGTCGACCGCATTCGCACGGCCTACCAGAAGGCTGACGACAGCCTGCGCGCTCACAAGAAGTCGCTCTTCCCTGAAGCCCTCGCAAATCCAGTCGACATGGGCCATCTGTTGCATCACCTGGAGGCTGAGGTGGAGCGTGTGATGCCTCTAGAGGAGCTGGATACCTTGAGAGAGGCTTATCGGCTGTACAACGAGAGCATCGTCTACTTCAATGGATCAGACAGCATTCTACTTACAGGTCACACACACAGACACAGCCGACACACCGACTGTGATCGAGGAATGAGCCACAATGTCGCTTTGTATGGTTGCTGTCACCGGCAGGACTGCACGTCGACCTGCCTCGCGAACCAGAGCTCTACTGGTGGCTCGCAGCAGGCTGGCCTCACAGTTCAGAGCACCAAAGGCTATTTCAGAGGGCTGATTGGTTGTATGGTGTCGGACCTGAAGACTATGAAAGTATCTGGGGAGCAGACATTGTAAGCGTGCTAAGTCAGACAGATTTCGGCAGATGTGGCAGTTTGATCATGTGCCACAATTCAGACTCGAGACGATCACTGGCAAGAGTTCGGGATGCCAGCGGATGTGAAGGTCGCTCTCGATCCCATCTACGATGCTAGGCGTATGGCATGTCGCAGCCGACACAGCTTACCAGATCTCGGTATCATAAAGTCTACACTCTCTCTCATGAACGACCCCACTTCAGCACACGATGGCAATGCGGCAGCGGCTCGCTACAGGGTGGAAGTCTTCAGGAACACATCCAGTGGAGTGGCGATGTACACGGTAGGCAAGAAAAGATAGACAGCTACCGACCAGATCTGCGTAATACTATAATGCCGCCGCCGTTCAGGCTCTAAACGCGATTATGATTAATGGATCCTCGGCTCTTGTCGTCATCACAGGAGAGGCGCCACATAGGGAGGAGCTGAAAGGCAAAGAGGACGGTCATTTTATCGATCGCGTGACAGCTGAGTGGGCCGCTGAGGCGTTTATCTTATACCAAGACACCTGGGGGCTCGTCGAAGACCGGACAATGCGATCCAACTGCAGCATCCCTTCTTGGATCAGAGAGTGTCCTGATGGGTTCGGTGATGCTGTGCCTGTACGACAGCCCGTCGATCCCATCGGTGAGGGCAGCAACAGCACGCTCAAGCGCCGCTGCCTTTGGTCGAGCGCTATTCCGTCTTCCGACGGCAGTACTTCTACTCTGCGGAAGTTGCAGATACCCGCACGCTTCCATCGCACATTCGATGACTTCGATAGCAATACTGAGGCTCATCCAGCCGTTCTCGTTATTCACTATAATGTTAGCAGCCCGCATGACAGCCATTTCTCGCTATTCGCCGCGGATCGCGTCGGTGGTGAAGCTCAGGGGTTTCCTGATTGGCTGGTGTCGCCTGGTGGTGTGTCAGAGGTGTCGCCTCGAGAGTGGGGGCTGCTCGAGCCACTGCAGTCGTACGTCAATCTTACTACGGCGTATGGATCGGGGAGCTATCGCATGGCTGAAGACGGACTGAAGCGGGATCTCTCGTCGTGTATGGGGTTTAGGTGAGGACACTTAAAAAGATGGATCGATGCTTAAGGGCAATCGCTGGACGGTGTGTGGGCTTATAGGTGGGGCTATAATGTTACAATGGCGGAGTTCGAAGCTCATGCAATTGAGGTGCTGCAGTGGCCGACAGGTAGCAGGGACGCTGCCCAACGAGACCGTGACCCTCTTGGTACACAGACACACACTCAGTGGACATCTTCCTTGTTTCTGAATCCCGTATCTACAGATCGCGTGATGGGCATTAGAGTGGAAGAAGCATTTGCAAAGCCGAAGGCAGTCGGTTTCCTTGTGGGTCTGTCGACAAACAGTACGGGCACATTCTTGACATACGAGCAAAACGACGATGACGAGAGCGTGCTGTTCTCGGTGACCGGCTGCCGCTGCATCGACAAGAGATGCCACAAGGAGCTGCGGAAGCCCGGCTTTGAGAGTGTCTGTCGAGTCACGCGAGAGGCATGTGATGTGGGTACCTGCCGATGTGAGGCGACTGATGGCGAGTATTTCGATGCATGTGTGGAGGGCGAGCAGCAGAAGGTGTTCACAAACAACGGCTGTCGGTGTATGTCGGAATGCCGCAAGCGCCTATCATCCGTGCCCATGTGCAACGTCGATCCAGGGGAGGACTGTCCCGATCAGCAGACAAGGTATGCCTATCGTTTGGAGTGCGGTGACCGCAAGCCAGAGTTCCAGCTGGTGCCGCCGACCCTCTGTGCGGGGGTGATGGACCGCGTCGACCTTACAAAGAAGGCACACTGGACTCATCTGGTCTATATGAATGCGGTGAGAGGGCATTGAGGGACGGAAAAGGCACGCCACTGGATGCATTCTGCGCCTGTGTGTGTGTGTGTGTGTGTGCGTGTGTGCGTGTGGCATCAGGACAACGATTTGGAAAGCGACGCGATGGATGATTTAGCCGAGATGCTTCAGATGCCGTCGGGCAGCATCAGTCTGTTGGTGCTTGTGGACCGCTCTGATCCTCACGCGTACCATGCGTCCCATAAAGCTATCCACCAGCTTGTCATCTGCCCGGAAGCATACCCAGATATCAACCTGAGGACGGTACAGACAGACGGACACATACGCTCGCACACAGTGACATCTGTTTTTGGCTTTGGTCGTGTGTTTATGCAGGTGAGACAGCAGTTTTCCAACACGTACGAGCTGCTGATGATCGGCGATCCATACGATGGTCAGAACAGCACCAGCAGGCGCCGGTGGCTGCTCAGAAAGGACTGGAACGAAGCTGACATGGACAATCAAGAGACTCTGCGGGTGGGGTAAAGACGCGAGGCGATGAAAGGATGGTCTCTCTTCGCTGAGTGAGCTGGATGACTGCGTGTGTGGCGATTGTGAATGCATAGGTATTCATCAGGAAGGCGTTGAAAGACTTCCCTGCTTACCACTTCGCTCTGACCCTGTGGGACCACGGTGTGGGACGAAAAGGGTGAGTATGCACATTGATGCAAAGGTTGCAGGGTGTCATCCTTCGCCGGACTGCATGTGTGTGTATATGCAGGTTTGGCGGCGACTCTCAGAGCGGTCAATCGGGATCCCTGATGACTCTCTTCTCTCTCGAGCAGGCCATCAGGGTAAGCAGAAGGATAGATATCAATCAAACGGCCCTGACCACTCAATTTCTTGTCCCTTTCCTGTAGGGAGGAATCAGTGATGCGGGTATGCCTGATGGCTTTCGCTTTGACTTGCTCTCATTCGATGCGTGCCTCATGAGCTCATACGAGGTGATCTCCGCGCTCTCATCACATGGGCACTACTTCCTCGGTAACAGACGACACGCACAACAGCGAAGCCGCTCTGCGTCTTTCCGTATCGTGCGTCTTTCGTTGTGCTGCCGTGTAGGCAGCGAGACCATCGTTAGCGGCGCTGGCTGGGATTGGCGTTTTCTGAGACCAACAATATATGACGGCAAGCCAACCACGCCTTTGGACTACGCCAAGAGCATCGCTCATGCAACAGTGGACTTCCACATGAGGCAGCAAGATGTGATGCCCCTTGCTATTGTGGACCTCTACAAACAACGCGAGTTCCGCATGGCATTTGCCGCTAGCCAAAGGAGCCTCACCGAGCGACTCAACACGTGCTTTGATACATACGAGGTCGACCGCATTCGCACGGCCTATCAGAGGGCTGACAACAGCCTGCGCGCTCACAAGAAGTCGCTCTTCCCTCAAGCTCTCGCAAATCCAGTCGACATGGGCCGTCTGTTGCATCACCTGGAGGCTGAGGTGGAGCGTTTGATGCCTCTGGAGGAGCTGGATACCTTGAGAGAGGCTTATCGGCTGTATAACGAGAGCATCGTCTACTTCAATGGATCAAACAGCATTCTACTTACAGGTCACACACACAGACACAGCCGACAAACACCGACAGTGATTGAGGAACAATGTCTTTGTTGTGCTTGATGTCACTGCTCAGAGTGCATGTCGACCTGCTTCATGAGCAAGAGCATCATCGGTTGCTGCAGATCGCAGACGTTAACGATGCTGTAGACCTTGACGAAGCCGATATACCCTGGGGAGCAGAAATCGTAAGGAGACTGACACGGATGAGAAGCATTGGAAATCAGAGGTATGAGCGTTGTTCCTGCAGACTCACGATAGATATTGGCAGTGGTCTGGGACGCCGGCGGATCTAAACGCCTTTGTGGAACCCATTTATGACACCAAACGTGGTCCGTGTCGCGGCTGGGGGGTCTTCATGAGACAAGACGCTCTTCTCGGCATCATCGATTTCACCCTTTATCCCAGGAGCAACGCCAGTTCAGCACACGATGGCAACACGTCAGCGGCTCGCTACAGGGTGGAAGTCTTCAGGAACACATCCAGTGGAGTGGCGATGTACACGGTAGGCAAGAAAAGATAGACAGCTACCGACCAGATCTGCGTAATACTGTAATGCCGCTGCCGTTCAGGCTCTAAACGCGATTATGATTAATGGATCCTCGGCTCTTGTCGTCATCACAGAAGAGGCGCTACATAGAGAGGAGCTGAAAGGCAAAGAGGACGGTCATTTTATCGATCGCGTGACAGCTGAGTGGGCCGCTGAGGCGTTTATCTTATACCAAGACACCTGGGGGCTCGTCGAAGACCGGACAATGCGATCCAACTGCAGCATCCCTTCTTGGATCAGAGAGTGTCCTGATGGGTTCGGTGATGCTGTGCCTGTACGACAGCCCGTCGATCCCATCGATGAGGGCAGCAACAGTATGATCAACCGTCGTTGCCTTTAGTCGAGTGCTATTCCGTCTTCCGACGACAGTACTTCTACTCTGCGGAAGCTGCAGATACCCGCACGCTTCTATCGCACATTCGACGACTTCAACAACAATGGGGAGGCTCATTCAGCTGTGCTTGTCATCCACTATAATGCGAACAGCCCGCATGACAGCCATTTCTCGCTATTCGCCGCCGATAGTGTCGGTGGTATGTCAGAAGTGTCGCCGGAAGATTGGGGGCTGCTTGAGCCACTGCATTCGTACGTCAACCTTACTACGGCGGATGGATTACGGGGGTATCGCATGACTGAAGACGGGCTGAAATGGGATCTCTCATCGTGTACCGTCTTTATGTAAGGACACTAAACAAATGGAGCAATACATCAGGCAAGAGGGGAAGTCATTGATGATCGCGTGAGCTTGTAGGTGGGGCTATAATGTTACAATGGCGGAGTTCGAGGCTCATGCAATTGAGGTGCTGCAGTGGCCGACAGGTGGCAGGAATGCTGCCCAACCACACCTTGACCCACTTGGTAAGTTGCTCTGTATACATGCACTTGTCCACAGTTGATGTCTTTTTTTTCTCTGCATTTTTCTTCCGTCTTCAGAGCGCGTGATGGGCATCAGAGCGCAAAGCATTGCAAATGATTCACAAGTGGCTTTATTCGTGGCCCTTCCAGAGGACAACAATATCGGCGACACCAGCTAGCGGTGTTGACGTGTTGGGTCGTGTGTGTGTGTGTGTGACCTTGGGTATTCTGCATGAGATTCTTGGCAGAGTTCGCGGTCGTCCTTTTTTGTCGCGCCGCTGTTCTTCGCAGTATGGTAGTCCCTTTTTTCCCTTTTTTGGCCGTATGGTGCGTAGCAAGTATAGAAGTATGTAGTGTATGCCGTGTGCACTTTCCTTTTGCGTTTTCTTCCGCCCTAAGAAAGACCGTTAGCACGTACAGTGTGTTCGAATGTAAGGTTCCCTCCTCGGCTGTCGGGATACGCATTCGCCCCTTTCCGCACATAGTTGTGTGGTGTTTTCACTGATCGTGCCTGCAACTCGAGCGCCGTACAGTGTGGCTTTCGAATGTAGCCATGCTTGCCCGAGCGAAGCAGGCCTGCTGGCCGCTTCGGATCATGCTCCTGGCGCTTCTCTCGGGAACAACAGCCCTGCTGTTGCTCCGAATGTTGAGGCGGAGGACTTGGAACGGCCTCAGACAGGCTGCCGCAGCCGGAGGAGATCACGACTTCTCTGCATTGAGGACGGTGACATTGGATCAGTGGGTCCCCGATTATACTGGGCCAGGCCGATGTAGGTTCGCATCCCACATTAGAAGGAAAGGCTCAACCGGCGGGTCCACTACACTGACTTTGGGGATGAACGACACTGCGATACACGACCTCCAGGTGTGGCACAAGAGCGAATCAGAAGCAGCGCAGAACGGCACTCTGTTTCCGCCTTGCAGGGGTCCGTCACCGTGGCTGTGCGGATGGGACCGTTCCGTGCGTTGCGTTGGATCATGTCGTGTGTTAAAGCGCGTCTTGAAGACTGCAGCTTTGTCCGAGAGATTGTCCTCGATGTATGGACTCCCCCTGGGAAATCTCTGGAGGCTTTTCGCAATGAGCTGCACAACCATCTCAGGAAAGTCAACACGACCAAGGCGCGCATCTTGCCGGGAGACAGAGGGCTGGGGGAGAGATACTTCGTTGGCGAGCACATCCAGACACCCTTCACACTCGTGCTGGACGACGACAAACTCCTGCATTGCGGTAGGGACCGTCACACAGAATGGATCCATCCAACGCTGCATTGTTCTCTCGGCTGCATGTGCAGCCGAGATCCACAAGCTCCTTTTGGCAGCTCAGCGCTTCCCTCAGCGAATTATCGGCCCTGTGAAGGTGCGGCGGTCGATTCATAAATGTGTCATCGGCTCAGACACGTTGCTGTATCCCACGGAGAGGCAAGAGGACAACATGGCTTTAACGAGCGCTGCTCTTGTGCCTACGTCACTGATGGATGCGTACAGGAGACTCATACCTAGGTAAGCCCCTCGAATGGCGCTCCAGCAAATTGTATGCACATCAAGTCATGACGGTACACTTGTGTGTGCAGGCCTGTCATTGACTTCATCAACGGAGAACTCAATTGCGAAGACGTATGCTTCAATTGGCTCGCGGCACACCTGAATGGCGACGAGGAGGAGGCATGTAAGACACCCTGACGAACCAGCCGTCCATCCATCTATCCATTCATCCAGCGTTCCTGACTGACGGCTGCATGATGTTTCCTTGTACACAGGTGTGATTGTTGAGGACGTCGAGGTCAAAGAAGGGCCGCAAGGGAACGATGCGTTGACCAAAAGCCACAACAGCTGGGGACGACGCAACGCATGTCTCAACTTCCTGAGAGACGTTTTCCCTCAGTGGCCGATACCCAGGCCATCGTCCTTCCGCGTTCGCATTGAATGACTGAGGGAGACGAAAGCGCCCTCCTCCCCATGGTCGGGAGGAGGTGAGGGACGGGAGGGAGGCCTGCCTTCATTGGATGCATGAAAGGGGGAGACAATTAACTTGCCCCATTGGTCCATCGATGCGTGTATTCTTTGATAGTGGCTGTGTCACGTGCTGCCATCTTTGAATGCCGACAAACAGCGAGGCATATACATGTGAGGTGTCATGTGTTTTGTAGGTCTTTTGTAGTTGTACAGATTTTGTGCAGAGACTAGTTCATTCGAGAGGCAAAAAAGCACGATTCAATAAAAGCTCTGTACGAAAGAACGTCAGCGGACCTCCAAAACAGTAGAGCTGCCCTACACACACATGTCCAAATACACGCACAAGTGGGGGTCCAGCACAGCACTGCCCATTACATGTATGCAGTCTGCATCAGTCAAGGCAGGCAGGTATGCGTGTGTGCGCATGCACTCGTGTGTACACCTCTCTCGATCTCTCTCTTTGGCTGAGGAAGCCGCACACGAACCCACAGCCAGCCATCCATCCGCCGGCAATGCGCCACATGGGGAGCTCACGAGACAATACAGAAAGACAGGCGATCGCTGCCTTCATACACTACAGCAAACACAGGCGGTGAGTACCCAAGTACACACGCATGATCTCTCTTTGAGAGCACTCGACAGACAGACAGACAGACGGACAGACAGACGGACAGACAGACAGACAGGCAGGCAGGCAGGTCCGCATTAGAGCATGCTGCAGAAGGCTACTCACATGTACACACACAGAAGCCCCCAATCACGCAGTCAGACAGGCACCAATAACGTCCGCACACCATGGAATGTATTGCACCGCCACAAATGTCATTCACTTGGTCAGGTGTCCTCTCACTCCTGCCGGGAGAAGATAGACGGCGGCGGGGGTGAGGACAGCTTGCGCACGGCGAAACCCAGGAAATCAGGATCGCCCGGGTCCTTCACGGCAAGGTGTCTGCTCCTCTGCGCTACACACACATCACACAACACGGGTAAGGAATCCAACGTGTCTGTCTGTCCTCTTCTTACTTGTTCCGACCAAGGCAGCGCATCTGCGGATCGGGGTGGTCGTGCAGGTGTGCCGAGCGCGGCAGACCCTTTCCCCCTCTTTGGCTCCACTCGCCGCCCTCCGCCAACTCGCCCACCCTGTTGTCCTCCCAGAGACCTCCCCCAGGACCTCCCCTGGACCACCAGCGCCACGCGGTGATCAGTTGCCTCTCCGAAATGCCGCTCGTCCTTGCGACGGATGCTGTAGGAAGGGGTGAAGGCGGAGGAGTGTGACAGCGTCCGCTCGTTGGACCTCTTCAAGTCTCTTGTGTCATGATGCCAAGGGGCGGCGGTGACGGGCGCTTTCGACTGAGGACGGGACAGTCGTCAGACGTGCAGTGGTATGAGCACGTCGAGGCCGAAAGGCAGCGGCTGCTCCGGATCTTGCAGACTTCAGAACGGCGACTCGCCCTCGAGGTTGGCAGGCATGTCCAGAAATGCCAAACAGCATCGACATCGCCTGCTCGAGAATCAAGGCCAGACGAGACCAAAGTCGCCATCTCGTATTGTGCTCATCGCAGGAGTGCGCCCGCCGTCCATTTCAGGGTAGTGCGGCACAGCGGCTGGACTCGGCAGCGACCCAGATCTCCGCTGCTGGGCTGCTGCTTTGGTCGTGGGCGGGGGCATCGATGCACTCGCCACTGCGGCAACAACCACAGAATCTCACAGATAAGTTTTGTCCTCCATCCTGCCTCCATTGCGGGGACCTCATCTCAGGGTTTTGAAACCCTGAACCCTGAGACTGGGAGCCTCGGCGTCTGGCGGGGAACAGCCCTGCGGCGAAGATGCTGGGCTTCCTGCACGGCCAGCGCACTCCCCGGCTGCAGGGCCGGGAGGGCCGCAGTGGGAGAGACGGCCACAGCCGCCCGAGTGGTGCTGAGGAGGTGTGCTACATCCAGCTGCCGAGAGTCGACGAGGGCGACGCTGCCGCACAGCAGGCCATCCACCACACACAGACGGGCCATCCCAAGGTCACCTTGCAATGCTCCTAGTGCATCTCTGTGTGTGTGGTCACCGGCCTCTGATGTCTGTGTCCCTCCCTCCCTCAATGCATTGCAGATGTCAGCGTCGGCCTCGAGTGACCAGGTCCCTCTGCTGCAGGACGATGGACAGGGGCTGATGGAGCCCCAGCTGCCGGACGTCACCGATGACATCACCAAGGCACCGAGACGCATCGAGCAGGTGTGTCGCTGTGATGCGGACAGCGGCACGGTAACACACTCTGAGAGGTCTGTTGGACGTCTGTGTGTCGTCTGCAGGTCCCCCTGGTCGGGGCCCCAGCCGCCGACGACTGGGAGCCGACGTGGAAACTGAGAGACAGCATCAAAGAGGCCGTCCTGGGGTGGGATGCGGAGGGTGTGCGGAAGGCCCTCGACGGTCTGTCGCCTGAGCAAGCCGAGAAAGCGCTGACGACGGAGAAAGGGTGGGAGACTTGGGGTTCAGCCATTCATTTCGCCGCAGGTTTGCACAGTCGCACCACTGCAGACGCATGATGCAGCCACGCGGCCCTTGTGTGTGTGCTTCCCAGAGAAGTGCATGGATGTGGATGTGTTTGAAGTGCTGTTCCAAGACAGACAACACCTGCTAACCCTGAAAGGCCGGGTATCGTGGCTGCCTGTTAGCCGGGTGTCTTCACTCCTTCTTCATGCTGTGCCTGCAGGATGGCCACACGCCCCTTCATTTCGCTGTGCACACGGGCTTATGTGGTGCTGCAAATGACGACCACACAACTGCATGAGTCTTCAACGTGTCTCTTTGCGCTCTCCCGCAGGCCTCGAAAAAGCCGATGTCCCGCGCTGGATGTTGACGGTCAATCCACAACTTCTAAAGGTCAAAAACATTGTAGGCTGCACTGCACCTATCGCAATGCACTTGTCGACCTATGAGTGATACTATCTCTGCTCGTGACAGCTCGGAATGACGCCCCTGGATCGTGCCGTTACCGAAGAACCGGGGGTCGTCGTACCGATGATAGGCGTAGCTCCAGACGTCACCATGGAGGTGGTCAAGCGAGGCGTGAAAATACCGTATGCGACGGCGCAGGATCTCAAAGAGGTGGTGTGCGCGACGGTGTTCCTGAAGGACCACTCTGAGTCGCTGGCCTTCGACAGTCTTTGCTGCTGTGCCGTCTTCCGCAAGTTGATGAAATCGCGACCGAAGGACTCCCTCACAGAGTATGACTTAATGAAGAGAAGGGGACATCATGCCAATGAAGAGGAGGGTACTTCACGATCTTTCTTTCTTGTTTCGTGCAGTGAATTTGAGCAGATTTCCAGCTGGAACGAGGTAAAGAATAAGAAAGACACACAGCACTTTTCACTGCCACGTTGATTGTCCAATCGGTTTAGGCGCTCACAGCCGATTTCTGCAGCGATGCACCGAATGAGGTCTTCGAAGGGTCACTTGCAGGCAAAGAAAGAGAATGGTTTGCGATGCTCGAGTCGGCAGAGCCCCTCTCTGTCGTCACCCAAGGTAAGCCGCACAAGCGATCTCCTCGGTTCTCTGTCGGCCCGCTCATGACTCTTTCCTCCCAATGATTGCGACAGCCAACTGCACATCTCTCGTCACGGAGCATTGGAATCAGGAATACAAAAACTGGAGGGTACAAAGTTGCACCCCGTGATGTCTTCATCAGCCGCGTGCTATCGATGCTGCTCATGTAAAGCTGCAACCATGCACCACGAGGGGGAGAGACATGCATAACATCCCTGTATCTGTGTGTGTATTTATGTGTGTGTGTGTTGTCAGGGTGGCCTTTGTGCTGCTGCGCATCGAGTCGATCAAGGGAGACAGTGCGATGACGATGGCGGGGGTGTGGCTGGCGGTGTGGCTGTGGGGGGCAGTGCTGACGGGTGGTGGATTCGTCTTGCTGGAGAGCTTTCAAGTGAGGCACATCGATTAAGGGAGACATGACTGACTGATCAAGACTGACATGCATCGTATATATACGTGTGTGCAGTTCATCCGCCTGAAGGCAGCGTACTGGGAAGACTCATGGTGTGCGTCAGGCTTCGTGTTGGGCGCTTCATTTGTGTGCTGTCGATGTGTGCCGATGAAGGAACTACGTGGATATGTGCTCCTGCGCCTCCATCATCGCCTTCATAGCCGTCCACGTGATGGGCTGGTCAACGGATGCCAAGGTCGGCTCAGGGATCGTCATAGCGCTGCTCTTTGCCTTGCGCCTCCTCCAAACGGCCAGCCTGCACCCAGCCGTGGGACCACTCATACTGTCAGTGAGAGAGACAGGCACACAGAGAGAGAGGTGTCTGATGGTGTGTGTGATGGGTGTGTGTGTCAGTGCGGTTGTGAGGATGTTTTCGGACATCAGCATGTTTCTGTGTCTGTACGTCTACATCCTGGTGGTCTTCGCGGTCGTCTTCACCCTCCTCTCGTCCGACGAAGACCATCAGTACTTCGGCTCCTTCCCCAAAGCCACGCTCACACTGTACTCGATGACACCGACACACACACAGAGAGAGAGAGCGCCAGTCGCCATGTGCTGTCGGTTGGCTGCGTTAGTTTCTACGCGGGTCTTGGCGAGTTCAATGAGGCGCTGAACAACGCCATCGAGAGCCACGACACCCTGGGGACCGTCCTGCTGTTCACATACGTCATCCTCTCCTCCATCATACTCGTACGGGAGGCTCACCAACACACATACACTTAAACGAGCCACACACACAAGGACTCCCTTCGTTGTCTCTCTGTCTAACCGCATCGATAGCTCAACCTGCTCATCGCCATTATGGTGAGACACACACGATGGACATCGAGCGTGTCATGAGACTGATCAATGCTCCTGTCTTCGTGTGTCTCTCTATGTCAGGCGTCGACGTATGCGGCCATCGAGCAGACACAGACTGCCCAATATCAGTAAGAAGACAGGCAGGGAGACAGCGATACATGACGGCTCTCTCTCCGTTCGTGAATGAATGCGTGCAGGCTGCTGCGGATTCGCGTGTTGAATGAGTACCTGAATATGCCGCAGCACGAGCGCCTCCCGCCGCCATTCAACCTCATCGGTCGGTGCGGCAAGAGACATCAACTGCATCCACCACAAGTGGCCACATCTGTGTATGTGCAGCTGTGGTCGTGTCGGTGCCCCTGCGCTATGTCGCCTCCCTCATCGGCGGACGGCAGTCGGCACTCTGCCGCATTGCCTCCTGGTCGGTGGAGGCCATCTACGTCACCCTCGATGCCCTGATGCACGCCGTCGTCTTCACACCCGCATACATCGACCGTCAGCTGGGGGTGTTTCAACCCGGACACGGGAGGCTTGAAGTACTGATACGGGCGGGAATGTACTGGGACGCATTCAGAATGCTCCTGACCATCCCCGTGATGCCCCTGTATATTTTCCACCAATACGTCACAGCAAAGGCGAGCTCCCAACACAGGATGTGGACAATCAGAATGCCTTCCAATGCTGAAATGTCCGTGTGTCGTCAAAGGAATCTTCCAAGGACACTGAGGAGCAGAAAGCCGAAAAGAGGCGTCAAGCACGGGACAGTTACAAAGGCAAGGTCGAGATGTGGATGAAGGCCGCATATCATCGCGACACGACGTCTCCGGACATCATGACCGGTGAGACACGGACACGCAGAGCTGTCATGATGGAGGTCGTCGAGCTGTGTCTCTATCAATCTCTTCCAGCCCTGACGCACTTTGAGGAGTACGTCAAGGACAAGATCGAGCCAGGTGGCAGAAAGACTTGACAGACACCCTTTTCATTTATTCTTTCCTTCGATGCGTTTACCGTGAGTCTCAGTCTTGCGGGAGTTGCAAACACAGCAGAACGAGATGCAGAAACAAGTGGAAGAGCGATTGACGAAGATAGAGGCGAAGATCAAATAGAAGTGACAACAGCTGCACAGCTCTCGGGCGGATGAAACACACATCAAACGCGATGCATGGCCAATACACGGAGACATCCACATTGCCACTGCGTACTTTGTGGTCGCTGGAAGAGGAAACTCCGTCCTTTTGGAAACACTGTGCCCCGGCGAGAAAGCAGAGAAACGAGCATTAATGGGGCGTCTACAGATCCATCCATCCATCGATGCCCATTTCGTTCGGCCCCCATTTCTTAGCGATCGACGAGCTCATTCGAATCCACTGTCCAGTTCAGGTACGTCCGTCCGTCCGTGGAGCCAAAAGGCGTGTCTTGTAGTCTGTCGACTGTACACGCGCACACACGCAGTCACTGAAGGAGATGCACATATGTACAATAGATAAACAGGCAGCTAGCAAGGCGTCTCCCCTCCCTTGCCCTCTTAGCCCTCCCCTCAGGTAGCCTGCACTCTCCTCCCTCGCCCCCTGCCTCCCCGCCCTCCATTGGTGTATTGATAATCCAGCCGTGATTTTGTCCAGTTCGTCTTTGGCCTCTGTGCTGAATATCTTGAAGTCATCGATGAGTTGTGGGAGGGAGTCGAGCTGGTTCTTCTGCACCGCCCAGAAAATGGCCTCGCACGTCCTCTGCAGATGATCCGCTGCCGCATACCTGAGGGATCGACGGGTGGATGACATATACGAGGGCAAGGTGTTGCCATGGGATGTGTGTGCATGAGACTGACGATGATGAGCCCTTGAGGGAGTAGGCGTCTCGTAGCATCGTCTGGTAGTCCTTCTTGTCCCATGCACTCAAGATGCTCGCGACCCTCGTCTGCATTGTAAGCGACACACAGACACAGACAGGCAGACAGGCAGACAGGCAGGCAGACAGGCAGACAGGCAGACAGGCAGACAGGCAGGCAGGCAGGCAGGCAGACAGGCAGACAGAGCACACATCAGGGGAGAGAAACGAATCATCAAATTCATCAACAACAATTCTTCCTTTGATCAATTCCATTCTGTAGGCTCCTGTCCTGTCCTGCCACGCAGCGTAGCTTACATGGAGTTCTTCCTTGTATCTGCCCAGCAGCATGAAGAAGGTCTCCTCGTCGCCTATTATGTCCACCCCCTTGCCGATGTCAAAGTGCTTGTACGACATCGACGGATGTAGGACGGATGGACAGGTGGCCACACACCTTCAGGGGACCGACAACGAGCAACGACGGTGAGACCCGCCAGGTCGCGAAGTCTTCGCTTTTTTCACTGAAGAGCACTCAGCAGCACTGCAGGGGGTCGCCAGGACGTGTTGGGACACCTCAAATTATGATTTTCATCTCTCCCCCCTGTTCAATAGTTGCACGCACCCACCGGTCGCGAGATCTTCTCGCGCAAATTGGCATGTGTTGATATTTTTTCTCAACTCTTTCCGTGTCCCGTCTCGAGAAATTATCCCAGCCTCGTACCAAGCAACCATATGAGAGTCAACCCTCATGCGCAACCCAACCCTCTGCACAAAGACAAATACTCACGACCCACACATAAAGGGGGGGGGAGGGAGGGAGGGAAGAGAGACAGGCTATCTGACACGACAGGAAAGACGGCGGCCACACACATCACCACACACACACACACACACA